AAGCATATGAGATGATGCTCCACATCATATGTCATTAGGGAGCTACAAATTAGAACAGGACACTACTTCATACTAATTACATTGGCAGAAAATCCCAACCACTGACAACCCCAAATGTTGATGAGGATGTAGAGCAACAGGAATGCTCACCGTTAGTGGTAGGAATGCAAAATGACACAACCAATTTGGAAGGGAGTTTGGCAGTTTTTTATAAAACCAAACATACTCATACCATGAAACCCAGCAGTTGTGCTCCTTGGTTTGTACCCAAATAAGTAGAAAACTTACACACACACACACACACACACACACACACACACACACACACAACTGCATGTGAATATCTGTAGGAGCTTTATTCATAATCAACAAAATTTGGGAGCAACCAAGATGTTCTTTAGTAGGTGAATGGATAAAATGAGGTACATTCACACAACGGAATATTGTTCAGAGCTAAAGAGAAATGGCTCACCAAGCCATGAATAGACATGGAGAAATCTTAAATGCATGTTACTAAGTGGAAAGAAGCCAATCCAAAAGCGTGCCCATATTATTCCAACATGGCATTCTGAGAAAGGCAAAACTATAAACACAGTAGTAAAAAGGTCAGAGGTTGCCAAGCGTTAGGGGAGAGGCAGGGATGGCTTAGGTGCAGCATAGAGAACTTTCAGTGAAACTGTTCCACTGAACTTTCAGAGAACTTTCAGTGAAACTGTTCTGAGAACTTTCAGTGAAACTGTTTCACTTTCAGTGAAACTGTTCTATATGATATTGGAATAGTAGAAGCATGTCACTATGCATTTGTCATAAGCCATGGAATGGATACCACCAAGAATGAACTCTAATGTGAGTTATGGGCTAAGTGTTAACACAAGATGCAGCTTCACTGTTTGTAACAAAGTTGCCACGCTTTGTTGATAACGGACCAGGATGTTGATAACGGACCAGGATGTTGATAACGGACCAGGTATGCATGCACGTGTACATGGGAATTCTTTGTGCTTTCTGCTCCCTTTTGCCGTGATCTCAAACATGTCCTAAAAACAAAGTTTATTTTGGAAATTAAATGAGATAATACAGGTAGGTTCCACGTCTAAGGAGTTTGGAGGTCACAACTCCATCCTGACAACAGATGAAAAAGCTGAACAGACTGAAAAATCAAGAACTCTTCTTGGATCTGCAAGAGAGGGGAGCATACAAGGCAAATCGCTACCTCTGACACTGGAGAAACAGACAGGTAAATCCAGAGAGGCACATTAATATGGGAAGCTTTCTAGTACATTTATTTCTGTGGTCACTGCTCTCTTCTATCTCCTTTCACCTGTTAGTCCATAAGGTTTTCAAAAGCATTGAGACATTTCAGAGTCCCTGATTGTTCATGTATGCTTTCATTCATTCATTCATTCATTCATTCAGCAAACATTAATTAAGTTCCTATTATGTGTTGGATATTGTGCTATTTCTTATGGGAACATAAAGATATATAAGGCATAGATACTTCATTCAGTTCAAACACTCAACAATTTTTGAACATCTACTATGTGCCATACACTGTGCTAGGTGTTAAGGATTCAGCAATGAAGGGAACAGCCCATTTTCAAAACAGTGTAACCACCACCACAAAAAACTCTTGACCCCACTGGCTTTAACATGTTTTTAGTGAGATCTTCACAACTCCTTGAACAGGTGGGTTTGTCTGTTTGTCTGTCTGTCTGTTTGTTGTTTGGGGTGTGTGTGTGTGTGTGTGTGTGTGTGTGTGTGGTGGTGGTACCATTGTTTTGTAGTCATTCTCTTAACTACTTTTGGACTCAATGCACTCCAATTGGATTTTCAGTACAACACACTCCAGGAGGACTTTCAACACAACTTAATACAAATTGCTCTTACCAAGTTAATTATGAACTGTATGTTGCCAAAACCAAAGGTCAATTCTTTTTGTCATTGCATTTGATGCCTTTGAAATATCCAGCATAACCGGCCACACTTCCCCTCTTGAAACACTTTCTACACTTGACTTTCATAGTGGCATACCCTTTGAATTTTCTTCCTGCTTCACACCCCTCCTGTTCAGTCTCCTTAGCTGGCCCCTCCTCTTCTGTTCAACCTCTAAGTGTTGTTACGTCTGTCCCAGGATTCAGTTCTGCAGCTTTTCCTTTTATCCATGAATATACTCTTTTCTATATTTCATCTAATCCTGTGACTTCAAATACTATTGTATGCTTCCATTTCCCAAATTTACCTCTATAGATGGCATAAGGAGTATAACTGTCCTAAAGTGATCCAGGAGTGGTGTGTAATAGCCCAAAAAGTGGGAGAACTCCAATTATTCATCAACTGGTTTATCAATAAACAAAATGTGGTATACGCATACAATGGAATAGTAGTCAGCACCTAAAAAGAATGAAATACTGATACATGCCACGACAGAGATGAATCTCAAAAGTATATGATGCTAAGTAAAATAAGCCAGATGCAAAAGACTATATATTGCATGACTCCATTCATAGGATGTCCTGAAAAGGCAAATTTATAGAATCAGAAAGTCAATTCGAGGTTCCTAGAGCTGAAGAGTAGGAATGAGGAGTGGTTGCTAAAGGACACAATAGGTATTCTGGGGGTGATAGAATGGTTCCAAAACAGGACTGGGGTGATGGTTACACAAGCCCATAATTTTATTTAAAATAGTTGAATTATACACTTAAAACAAGTGGATTTTATGGCTTGTAAATTATATCTCAATAAAGCTGTTTGGAAATAAAAGAAATGTGATATTGTGGGCCCCATCTGCCTTCCCCTTTATTTATTTCTTATTTTCTATAGAATTTATATTGGTTCCACTCAGAGACTCTAAAGTCTCGTCCTATTGGCTCTTTGGCTGAAAGCAATTTCCAGAAGACACTAGCTGACTTCTGCCAGCCTCCAACCCTCCCAACAGCTGGGGGAATGAATTCCCAGGTCCTGAAGGAGATGGGGATGTGCATGGTTCGCTTAGAACATCACTCTGCTAGGCAAAGAGGTATGATGCACCTTGGTGGCCTCAAGTAGGGCTCCACAGGTCTCGGCAACACCGAGGGCGTTTAGCTAGTGCCGACAGCTTCAGAGACCAAGCTGCTACAACTCTGTGACTACAGTCAACCTTCCCTAGGCAAATGTGTTTGCAGCACGAGGATTCAGGTCTCAAGTAAGAAGAGGAGAATGTCCACAACACAAGGAAAAAGAGAGACTCAGAGGAGGGTGTCAAACCCAATCATTGTAGGGCATTTCTCCCAATATCTTTTTTTTAAATGTTTTTTTATTTATTTTTGAGACAGAGAGACACAGAGCACATGTGGCGGAGGGGCAGAGAGAGAGGGAGACATAGAATCAGAAGTGGGCTCCAGGCTCTGAGCTGTCAGCACAGAGCCCAGTGTGGGGCTCGAACCCATGAACTGTGAGATCGTGACCTGAGCCGAAGTTGGAGCTGAGGTTGGACGCTTAACCGACTGAGCCACCCAGGCACCCCACATTTCTCCCAACAACTTAAGAAAACATTCTCTTCAAGTGCATGTGCTGTTTTCACCAGGACCATATGCTGGACTTCAAAACAAGTTTCCATAAATATCTAAGAGTGAAAATCATACCACAATAGTATTAAATTAGATGTCAGTAAAAACAAGATATTTAGAAAATACCCAGTTTTAGAAATTAAACAACATACTTCAGAACAACTCATGTGTTAAAGAGGAAATCATAGATAAATTAGAAAATATTTTTACCTGAATTATAGAAATCTAATACATCAAAATTATTGTATGTGGCTGGCACAGTAAGTACTTACAGAGAAATTTATTCTTTAAGTGACAATAGTCACATACAAAAAAGGGATAAAGTCAATAATCTAGCTCTGACCTTAAGAACCTGAAAATCAAGAGTAAATTGAACCCAAGGCAAACAAAAGGGAACAAATAAATAAAAGAAACAGATGAAATAGAAAAGAGACAAACAATAGAGAAATACAACAGTAAATGAAATCCACACAGAAAATTTAATTTCACATGGATTCTATATTTAAGTGTATATCCAGAACCATAAAGACTTTAGGAGAAAAAATGGCAGAGCATCTATCATAACTAAAAATCAGAAAATCATTGCTTCTGGGGTAGATTGCAGGCAGGGTGGAAGGTGGGAATTGACTAGAAAGGGGCAAGAAAGAACTTTTTGAGGGTGAAGGAAATGTCCTGGAAGTTGTCTTGGGTAATGGTGACAGTGGTGTGTACATAATTGTCACGCTTCATTGAACTAACCCTTAAGATCTGGACATTTTCATGCATGTAAATTACACCTCAATTTTTTAAAGTAGAGAAGAGGCAACGTCTTGAGGAGCTTTTGGTGGTGGTACTGGGGCATCTCTGGCGCGCAGGCTTCAAAAGCATCCATAGTATCTTGAGTTTAGGACTCTGCTAAGAGTGGTGTTGCAACCAAAATGTAGGCTGACCGCAAACGACCCTAAGATCCACAGTGACCAGAGCTACGGATCCCTAGTCTCATTATCCGGATCATAGAACTAGACAGCTACCACTAGATAGCTTCCCTTCAATGGTGATCTTCCCCCATAAACCCAGAGCTCTCCAAGGGGAAATCGAAATTGAGGTTCTGGATACGTGGGGTTGGAAAGAAAGTCATTTCCCGTACCACTCGGTGTCTGGAGCTGCCACCAAATGCAAATGTCTACACTTTACAAGGCAGTAACATTTCAAATGGCACTCCGAGAGAGGAGATAATGGACTATAGTAGATTTTCTCCCCAGATGTATTTGCTGCACAAGGCAAAACTCGCCATTGTGCTGGCAGATTTCTTCTCTCTTCATTTAAATCCACAGATTGTGCATCCCAGACAGCTGGCATGGACCACCGGATGTCTTGTTACAGGGAGGACCCAGCCTTTATCACACCGTGGCCCTGAAGCCTGCTTCCTGTGCCTTGGAAGAATGAAAGCTATGTGAAAGGTCAGCACTTTTTAGGGAGGAGGGACCCTGCAGGAGGCATGAGCAACGGGTATGTGGTAAGAGTTCAAGGTGAACAGGCTGAGCCAGAAACAAGAGTGTATAAAACTCCAATCCTGCCTTTGGGACATAAGGGGACCAGAACCCAGGCTCTTTCAACTGGCTTCCAACCCTCTAACAGGTTAGAGCTTTCTCATTTTCTTTCAACTATTCCCGGGCATGGGCGTTTTGCAGAAATAAAGTGGAGGGAACAAAATTTTTTTTGTAAACCTGTAACTACTTGATCTCTCTTTCTGGCCTTCTCCAGGATCACGCTGTAATCTAATCTGCTCCCCAGTGTTTCTGATTCCTGGAGAGTGCTTCTTGATACCCCGGTTTGACCATGGCTGGGTGGATCTGCCTTGTGACAGGGGCAGGAGGGTTTCTGGGTCAGAGAATCGTGCGTTTGTTGGTGGAGGAGAAGGACCTACAGGAGATCCGGGCACTGGACAAAGTCTTCAGCCCAGAATTGCGGGAGGAATTTTCTAGTAAGTGAACTTGGGTTCATGGGTGGGTAGCTCCATCTTAACCCCTGGGTACGTGTGGGGAGAGGGTGGTTGTCTAGCAAATCAAGGAAAGTGGTAGCTAAGTCAAGGCTAATCCCGGGTCCAAAGTCATCGGAAAGGAAAACACAAGTGGTGTAGTGTAAGAGATACAAGGCTATCAGGAGACTGGGTCTGACTCTGATCCAGAACTAGAGAGGAATGACCGTAGGTCAGCCACTTTGGCCTCTAGGTCTCTTTTCTTCTCATTTATAAAATCATGTATCAGTTCTCTCCCTTGTCAACAAGTCTTTAATGTTCTGAAGATTTCAGATTTTGCAGCATCTGCAAAGGGCAAACGAGCACCATTAACCCAGAGACTCCAGCAGTGGGTCCCCATGCCTCTTGATTGTCCTGGTCCTTCTGTGGCTTCATTTAGCATTGCCAGTGAAGATGAAATAAAAGGAAGTGAACGTGAAGCTGAGTGTGTGTGTGTGTGTGTGTGTGTGTGTGTGTGTGTGTGTGTGTGAGAGAGAGAGAGAGAGACAGACAGAGACACAGAGAGACAGAGAGGGAGAGAGGTAGGGAGGACACACAGCGTGCAACAAGGGAGCCAGAGACAGAGTGCGGATTCCTCTTGTGGATTCCCTGAACATCTCTTTTTACCTTTTGTCTCCACTCATCCCCACGAGAAAAGTGGCTGCAGCATTTGCTGGACAACCTCACTGCTCTGCTCTTTTCCCAGATTGCTGACCCTGGAGCAAATGCAAAAGCTAGATTTATAAGACCTATTTCACCCCTCCAGATCCTCAAAACAACCCTGAGAGGAAGGTAGGAAAGGGGTCTCACCCCACAGGACGATGAGGAAATCGAGGTAAAGGTAAAGCAACTTACCGAGGCCCTCTGATTAATGGAAGGCAGGGCTCAGAGTAGAGCCTCATCGCAGAGGCCCCTGTCCCCCCTCCCCGCCCTCCCAGACAGTGCCCGTCACTCTCCTTGTCTTTCCGGTGCTCTGAATGTCTCAGATGTCCTATTTCCTCTACCCTCTGCCGCAATGGTGTCTCTGGTGAACACACAGGAACACACATGATCAACATCGACTGGGTGTGTAACCCTTATGTCTCAGCAATACTTTCGGTCTGACAGCTGATGCCCCAAACAGGAGACGTTTAACCTAGAGAAGCAGTCTCCCAGGGTGACAAGTCACGTGGTGTCAGAGACAGGCCGGGGTCTCTGTCAAGATCACAGGGGAGAAGCCTTCCAGTGGTTTTTCCGTGCCAGGCCCTGTGCTCGGTGTGCTACATGTGCCAGCTAGTTTGCTCCTCGTGACATCCCTGTGGGATAGGTAATATCGTCCTCCTCTTTTTAGAGATGAGAAGGCAGGGCCGCCTGGGTGGCTCGGTCAGTTGAGCTTCCGACTCTGGTTTTAACTCAGGTCGTGATCCCACAGTTTCATGGGTTTGAGCCTCCGCCTCGGACTCTGTGCTGCCAGCACAGAGCCTGCTTGGGACTGTCTCTCTCTCCCTCTCTCTCTGCTTCTCCCCCACTTGCGCTCTCTGTCTCTCTCTCAGAAGAAATAAATAAGCTTAAAAAAAAAAAAAAAAAAGAAGATGGGAAGGCAGGCACACAAAGGCATCTTTGTCCTGTCAAGGCTGCTCTAACAATACACCATAGGCCGGGTGGCTTAAACCCAATTTATTTCTCACAATTCCGGGGGCTAGAAGCCCAAGAGCAAAGCAGGGTCATGTTCTGGTGGGAGCTCTCTTCCTGGCTCATAGCCTGTGCCATCTTGCCGTGTTATCACATCGTACAAAGGGGGAGGGATCTCTCTCTGGGATCTTTTATCAGAATACTGATCCCATTCATAAGGGTTAAACCCCCATGACCCGATCGCCTTCCGAAGGCCCTATCTCCTAACACCATCGCGGTGGCATTAGGATCTCAACGCTTGAATGTGGGAGGACACAAACATTCAGCCCATACACAGCCAAGGCTAAGGTGTTCAGGGTCCCACAGCTGAAAAATAGCAAAGCTGAAACTGAACCCAGAAGGTCTAGCTTCAGCGGCTGTGCTTTTAACCACTAGTTTGTCTAGTAGCTTCTCTTAGGTCTCCCTACAGCGCAGCCCGCACCGCAAAGCAACTGTCTATTCAGTCTAGCAAAATACTTCTCAAGTTCACAGAGCTTCGGAGAGGGCGCGAGCTGTGCCGCTCCCACCAACACGGCCGCAGCGCCCTCTGCTGGTGTCTCTGCGCCCCTCCAAGTTAATAGGGTAAGAGCCCTTTCTTCTGGCTTTGGGCTTCTCCCCCCTCAACTTGTCAATTCCTCGGAGCCAGCCTGTGGAAGTCAGCAGCAAAGAAGAGGCAGAGGAAAGGAGGGGGAAAGGCAGAAGTGGAGACACAAAATTCCCACTGATCGCCAGCAGCTTTTCCTCTGCTTTCTTCCTCTTCGGGGTGTCTTGGAGTTGCCTGAAAAGGGAAGGGGCGGGAGGGGGTGTCGCAGAGCAACTTTGGCAGAGGCTTAAGCAGAGCAGATGGTTCCTCCAAGTTGTAACCCAGGAAGGAAATTTCTCAGCCCTGAGTTTTTCACTCTGAATTTCTCTCTCTCACTGTTCTCTGGTCTCCATTGCCAATTTCAGTTAAGTTGCCTTATCCTTTAAATACACACATACACACATATGTATATACATAGACTTATCCTTAATCTGCCTCAGGAAAAAAAAAGTGCTAATCCTGCATTTGGGTGGCAGGGGGAAAGAGAGCAAAGCTTGAAGGCAGCAGGCAGGCTTGAGTCTTCACTAGAAGTGTGACTTAGACCTGCCCCTTAACCTGCCTCAGCCTCAGTTTCCTTGCCTGTATAGTGGAAATCAGAGTATCTTTGTCACGAGATAGCTGCGAAGGAAAAAACCAGACAACTGTACAAGTTGTGTACAAAGGAGAAAGCACGAAGTAAATGTGGGCAGTTTACCCAAACTGTATGCAGTGCCATGTTTATCCCATGGGTTTATCCATTGCCCTTGGCTAGATGGTCAGAATGCTAGTTCCTCGGCAGCTGAGTCATTCGCAGCAACAATACCTGCTTTAGATGAAATCTGACAAAGCTTTCCCTGTCAATGGCTCCACTGTCCTTCTGGTCACCCAAGCAGGAAATACTCAGGCTAACATTGACTCTAACAAAACCTCTTCCTCTTAGCCTATCTCCAATAAGAACCAGGACCTGTCTGGGTAAGGTCTGGAAAGTCAACCCTGCCTATCTCTCCCTGACCCTGCTCCCTCTGTGGGAGCCCTGGTTCCAGTCCGTCTCATCTGAAGTTTGGTGCAGACATTTCTGATTCATCTCTCGAATGCCCTGCTCTCTTTTAGATGTACCACACCAATCCATTTTATATACCGCAGCCGGGGTTACCTTCCTACACCACCAATCTGTTGGCTTCTTTCTCTTCTTGTTCCAAACCCGTGCATGATTCCTTATTCCCTACACAATTAAATTCCAATTCTTTCCTCATAAGAGGAGGAGCGGATATAAATCCATTCTTCATAATCACCCTACTCTCCTTAATGAATTTTATGAATTTCCCATGAATCACTTTAATAATTTTTGTCCCAGGTGCAGTTGATCCCTCACTGCTCAAATTCCTTTTTTTTTTTTTTTTTGGAATAAAATGGGGTGGAAACAGATGTTTGCTCTATCCCAATAAATGCTACACATCCTGATTTCTGTGCCTTTGTTTACTTGTTCCTTCTGTGGATTTGCCCCCTATCCCCCCCACTCTCCCCTCAATGTACCTGTCCTTGAGACCTGGGTAAATGCCACCTGTATCAAGAAACTTCCAGATCCCAAAAGACTTCCAATGACCTGACTCATGTTCACCCAGAGCTCCAGAGCAAGATCAAGCTGACCATTCTGGAAGGAGACATTCTGGATGAACAGTGCTTGAAGAAGGCCTGCCAGGACACCTCAGTCATCATCCACACCGCCTGTATCATTGACTTCCTGGATGTTGTTCACCGAGAAACCATCATGAATGTCAATCTGAAGGGTACAGTACCCCAGGGAGGATATGGGATGATGTGGGCAAGTGAGGCTCAGAAAACAGAACAGGAGGGGAGGGGAAGCCCCCATCCCTGAGCACTTGCTGAGCCCGTGCCAACTGCTTTTTCTTATCACCACTGAGAGATGCAAGGCTGTTATCCCCAGTTTTTAGATGAGGAAACCAGGGCTGAGAAGGGCTAAGTAACTTGTCAAGGCCCCCTGAGTAGGAGAGCTAGAATTTACACCCACACCTGTGTGTCTCCAAAGGCCACACAAGCTCTTCTTACTGTAGCTCTACTCAAACATCGACTCCATTCCGACCTTAAACTCTTGCTATCCAACCACCTCCTACCTCCCCTGGGCTAGAATCAGACCTTACAAGTGCCTCCCTGGTCATCATTTCAGCCCTTCTGTGTGCCTCTAAGTTGGCGGTCACCCAGTGAGGCCGAGACCAAAGAGCTCTGTGATATGAAGGGCCCCCATGTCCATTATGAGCGATGGGCCGTAGCTCTGGGCCAGTTTCCTTCAGGCAGGACTCCTGTGCAGGATCGCCAAGCATAATGAGAATACCTAGCACCTTCCTGCTTACCTCAGAGAAGGATTCCTCTCAAGAGACCTAGCAAAGCAAGTTCATAGCAGTTTGACAGGAGAGAATTACCCAGCACTGGCCTTCCCGTGATATTTCTTAATGGTACCAGCCTTCCCTTATCCATAATAGCACTTCTTCAGCTCACTGCTGGGTCTCCTATTAAAGGGTAGTTTCTAGCCAGGTGCGCAAAGTACACCCTTCTTAGATCGTCATCCCTTAAATGCCTGGCTGGTGGCTCTTTCTGATTTATGGCTTTCCAATCTACTTTTGATCCAGACACATTTGTTTAAGGGATTAGTGTAAATCCCTTATTAGCCTGGCACGTGATATTATCCTTCCGATCCCTGGATGCAGTTCCTCTAGGACCAGAGCACTCCAATCCCCAATCCTATCTGGCTTCTATGCCCTGCTCTACAAAGTTAGTCATTAGTCTACTCAGAGGCTCCTTTTCTTAAATTTTTTTTTTCAACGTTTATTTATTTTTGGGACAGAGAGAGACAGAGCATGAACGGGCGAGGGGCAGAGAGAGAGGGAGACACAGACTCGGAAACAGGCTCCAGGCTCTGAGCCATCAGCCCAGAGCCCGACGCGGGGCTCGAACTCACGGACCGCGAGATCGTGACCTGGCTGAAGTCGGACGCTTAACTGACTGCGCCACCCAGGCGCCCCAGAGGCTCCTTTTCTAAAGCAACTCATGGCTTTAGGATCTCCAGCCTAAAGAAGCACAGTCTCAAAAAAGACCCTTTCTCATTTCTACTTAGCCACACCCTCACCACTCCCACGCTGCAAGGAGGGTGCTATATTACCCAACTTTTCCTTTTTAGCCCCTCTCTCCTAACTCCTGCTCTCCAGGGCTCACAACCAGAGGGGATTTGAAGCCACTGACAAGTGTTAGCAGTATCAGTGAATTAAAACCAATGTCACTCCCAGGTTTAGAAAATACTTCATAGGAATGGTCATTTCCCCCTTTGCAGATAAATTAGCCTGTAATTCTCTCAGCCTCTAGATTTGATTTTTTTTTTTAAATAAGGCTGTCTCTCTAGAAAATCAAATTGCACAAAGACCTTGAAGGGTATTTTTTTAATAGAAAGAAAGAAAGAACAAAAGAAAAAGAAAGAAAGAAAGAAAGAAAGAAAGAAAGAAAGAAAGAAAGAAA